AGAGTGGTCTTAAAAACTAGGGGCAGAGCTCAGTATTTCCTGGTTTACATTTCTTTCTTTTTTAAAATTATCATTCTTTACTTTTCCTTCATTTCTTTCTGTAACCTCCTCCTTTGGCAAATGAAGTTTTCTGCATGAATGATTTGTTTTCAACAAAAAGGGATTAGCCAGTACTGTAAATATGCCTACTCTATAAGAACTATACTATGAAAGTGGTTTTGTGGTGTGTGTAAAAGTTTTGGGTACTTAGATACTATGCAGACTTCTTTATGTAGAGTTGGTTGTATGTCATGCTTTGGAGTTGTTCAGATTTCATGGTAATGTTTGTTTTCCACAGGCTGATGCTTCAGCTGTTAGAATAGGCAGAAGGTTGCAGTTCTGAATAAGTGTCTTTAAACTTCTATTACCAGTTTGAAAAAAAATCAGCGGTTTTGAAAGAGTTCCTTAGCAGGACAGAACGTTGGGGTGGTTCTCCTGCTAAAAGCCCTGTTTGCAGGGCCTAATAATAATTATATATTAAAAAAAAATATCTTCTAAGTAATCAGTGAATAGGAATTTTCTGTCTGTATGTCTTGTGTCTGCATCTTCCTTTTTATACATCATCCACTGGAATCTGTTGCATCTTGTTTTATATGAATTTAAAATTTCACATGTGTTAAGAGAACATAAAGTGTTAGCGTCAATGTCCAGTTTCCCTGCTGCTTTTCTCATGGGTAGAGCAGTAGCTTTACCATTAAGAACCCAAAATATTTTTTTTAAATTCCTTTGCAATGCAAGGGATAATATTCCTTCTATGGTTTCGAAGGCAAGCCTGCTTCCCAGTGCTAGCATCGTGTAAGCAAGTTGACCATGTATCTCTAAACTTCTAGCAAGCAAATTACTGCTTTTGAAACATGACGTGTGTTTTAGAAAGTTCACATCCTATAAATAAGTAAAAACATTGTTAGCAAATAACTCTACATCTTCCTTTAAACTCTGCATAAATTACACGGGATGGTTTGTTTTTCTTTTCCCCTGAGATTCTAAACCTAATGATTTTAAAACCTAGAAACTAGGTGTGTATTATTATTAGAGGGTAATAGTTATATTGAGAAAAGCTTTGAGAGAGAATGCCTATTATGTTAACATGGGAGTAGCTAATTTACTGCTTGGGCTATGTAGAGTTGGCAGTACTATTCATGCACAGTTCACTGCTGTGGGTTTCAAGCTGATAAAATTGTGACACATTCTAAACAAGATTTTTAAAACGGGAATATTTCAACAGCTTTTAATCAGTTTTCAGTATCTTATGGATTGGGCCGGAAAATAATTATATTTTCTTCTGTGAAGTTTAACAGTATTGTCTAAACCGTTTGGGCACTCTGTCATGGCCCACCCAGTTGTTTTGACTCTGACTATATAAATGGGGATGGCAGTTTGACTTGCTATTTCATAATTGTCTAAGAGCAAATTAGAGTGTGTCTTATACTGTTGACTTACAGAGGTAATACAGCTTTTACTCACCAACTTAGTAATGTGGTTTTCTTTAAATGAACGTTTGCTGGCATCAAAGTTTTCAACAGCATCTAAGTGAGTGCACAGAGCACAGTAGTTCAAAATATGTTGTTTATTCTTTGCAACGCTTTCTGTAATGGTTATGTGAATCTGCAAGCTTCCAAGTCAATTACATGTCAATGTTCCACAAGGGATCTAGAAAAAGACAATCATCAATTCTAACCGTGGTATCTTTTAGTGTATCACCTGGTCAAAGGTGATAGGAAGTTTTATGTCCTGTATACATGGTTTGTGGAAAAAGAATAAAAATTAGAATGGAGAATTGGAAGTTTTTCTCTTTGTAATCAGAAGAAAGTATAAATGACCCTACAAAATCAGCTGTCCTTGTGCATATGTCGCATCAGTAGTATTGCTTATTCCTCAAGTTTGGAAACATATGGCTCTGTTGCAATGTGGTAGGTGTTGAACAAGCAGTTACTATATTCTCAGTTGAAAAGATCATTGCTCAGTCACCTGTATGTTTTGATGAGAAGGCTCTTTTAGAAAGAAACCCATCTTTCTGTGGAAAATAGAATACGTTGCAGTTAAGGTACATTCTGTCAGAAAGAAATGTATGATGAAGCAGATCTCAGATTTTCATCAGTTGTTCAGATTTCATCAGTTTTCCTGGGTAGCCCCTCCCTGATTAAGTTCTTCAGAATTTATTGTTCGTAGCATTGTGTGTTGTAGCTTTCTGGAGAATTGTTACAGTATCTCACTGCAGAGCTATCTTTGTGCTGTCTGTGGTGTGTCGAAGTGTTTACTTTGTCTTTTTTGGGCTTCCTGGTAGAAGATACTTGCTCAGTAGATGGTTTCAAAGTGTGGTTTTGGAAGTATGCAAGCACTGGTGCTTTAATCTAGTCCACTCCCTGTGGCTGAAAACAGTGTTTAGCGGATGTCCTACTCATTAGATACCTACTCTGTTTTAGCTGTGTTACTTTCCTTGTATTGTCTTTGATTAGCATTAGGTGCTTAAACAGATTGTGTTAGGGCTACTATATGTTGCTTGAACAGTAGTTCTTTTGTCAAATGAGCCCAGGACTTTAAATTTAATTGTTTGCTTTAAAAAGTGTATAGAAGATACAGTTTTCTGGAGGAAATTAATTGTCTACATACAATAGGTGTCTATTACTCTCATCTCTGAAGAGGCCATGGAATAATGCCTTACAATTTAAGTCAAATACTGTCAAAGATGTTATGAGTAGTGTATTTATTTTGGGGGTGAGTGGGGAGGTGATGGAGAGGGAGTTGTGTTTTACCTCCACAGACACTAGAGTAAGCTTGTCTGGAAGTTGCCAAGTTAACCGTTTCAAAATCTGTTTCTGGTAGATTAGGATAATGCCTTAGCTCTTCACAGTTAGAATTGCACTCTATTGCTTCTGTGATTCTGGAGTAAATACTTGGTTTTACCCTGAGTCAAGCAGTGAAGGGAGTGTAGATTTGTCTCTGTTTACCTCAATGAGAGAGAGATTTCTTAGTAACTTGCTGACTGACTGCTTTTCATTTTTTTTAGACTGAATGCTTGCTAAATATATATATGCTTACTTCCAGTCATAACAATACACAAATCACACAGTGATATGATTCATATCCGCTCCTGAAGTGTTGCTGAGGGTTGCTTTGTAAAGTGCAATATGGCGGTCTTTATTTTTGGTTGTTTTTTTTTTTTTTTTTCTTTTGAAGAAAGGTATGTGCTCCACTTCTGGTGTATTGGTAAATCTTTTGCGTCAGCAGATGTCATTTCTTATTGCTTACTTTTAATTGTGAACTGCTGTGGTATGTGTCAGGACATCCTGACTCTGGAAACCATATGGTTTACCAGCCATATCTTTACAAACTTACTTCCTTTGGACTGAAGCCTTGTGTACTCTGTAAAGTGAAGAAAGCCTTGTACTACTTCACTGGATCACTGACTTGAGCTAAATGTTAACATTTTTTCACGGAGAATGCATAAGACTGATTGAGTTGTACTGTAGAAGAAATTTTGTATTACTTTCTTAAAGGTTTCTTCCAAGTTGAAGGTTCTAGTAATGTGCTGTATTTATCTCTAGAAACTCAGCAGGTGAAGTCTTGCAAACCATGATGACCACAGGATCCTGTTTTGATGTCTGTGTGACTATGTAGGAGTACTGGACTGAGAAAGACTTTGTAGAACATCTGTAAGAGAAACAAGTTCTTTATTACTGGATGTTCTTTTTGTGTAGTTGAACGGACCATGGGTTGAAAATCAACCAACCAGCATAAGCAATTTGCTTTTTCCTGTTGTTTTTGTATTTTTAGTGGCATTTCTAATATATGAAACTGCTTACATTCTGCATGTTGGCACATCTGATTGAAAAGATAGATTCTCAGAAAAAGCATTAATTCTTTGTTCATGAGATTTAAGATAAATAAGCAATTCAAATGACTACAGCCTTCTCTGCTTGTGGTCTGTTCTCATTGCTGACTTCTCTTCCCCTGAATAAATATTTTCCTCTTTTCAGATTTTTTTTCCTTGTGCTTGTTGCTCCAGAAAGTAGCACTGCCTAATCAGTGATACTGATTTGTGTCATCTCGAGTTGGCTTTGGGAAGAATGTCCATCTTGTTTCAAGTTTTCATTAAATCAGAAATTACAGAGAACAAAAGTTTAGATGAAGAATACATATGTTTTTCGTAAAGGTTTTAACTTCTGTCCTTGGGATTCCCATTCTTGTAACTCTTCTACAAAAAGAAATTCACATATGTCTCTACATGGATGATTTTCTTACGTGCACATGTAAAATTCTTTCCTCGTATTTCTGAAATCTCCTCGTGTTTCTGAAATCTCCTAGAGTTCTATCTGTCAAGTTAAGCATAACTAAAATAAAGTGTTTAATCTCCTTAATAAGTCTCTGTTAGGACCTTTCTTGATCTTCTGGGGTGACACCATCATCCTGCCTTCACTCAGACAACTTTATTTGAATGGCTCTTGTAAAAGTTGTGTCTGAATCTTTCAGATCAATCCATTCTCCTAAATCTCTCATTAAGGCCTTGCTATTTTTGTGTATCAGTAAGTTCAGCTTGTTTTTCTGACCTTGGAAGAATGCCATCATATCCAACCTTCATTCTTTGAGAATGCTGCTTCAGGCTTCTACTAACCCACAACTTGAACCTTGTTGTCTTTTTCTTGATAAAGAGAATCTTTATCACATGAAATATAAACAGGTTATTTTCAGTTTCAGAGTCTCTTACTGTCTCATTCTTGCAGTTACGGATTGCAGTTCCAGACTTCACCTGATAAAGAGGTGACCAAATATCTTTATGCTTTGCTTTTTTTTTTTGTTGTTGTTGTTTCCTTCCAGCATCTTCCTCAATTTAGGCATAATGGTGTTATGAGACACTAAATTATTTTAGAGTGAGTACTTGCCTTGAAACTTTGGTGTTTATATCTAGAAATACTTAATTGCTAGTGCCCTGAACCACTCTTTAGTGTGCTGAACTGTGTTATGCTCATATATTCATATTTGCCAGCATCTGTCTGCTGTCTTTCCATTTCCTACTGAGATTGTAAATTTCTCTGTGGGAGGGACTGTCTGTTCTACAACACATCAGAAGGGTGTTCCTATTCCATTACTTGGTCAAGTAGGTGAAAGAATAATAAAACTTGTTAGGATTTTTGTCCACTCTTCTATCTCTATTTTTCCAGTTCTGACCCCCGTTAACCTAAATCTAATTGATTGGTGTGTTTCTGTATTTTTCAGAAGGGAAAAAATAATATGTTTGCTTTGCTCTATGTGGTGCATGAAGGTCTGTTAGCGGCAACAGTATTAAGACAGTGAATTTTGTAATGGCTTAGATCTAGAAATTGAGGGGTGAGTCGGCAATATTGATACAGTTTTGAGTTTAGTGGTGAATGTTAGAGGATACAAGTCTGTGTCCATCCCTTCCCTCCACCCCGAAATGCTCAAGACTGCACTCTTTTGAAGTTGACACACTAGTAGGAATAGGAATCTGCTTTTAGCAATATTAAGATATTTTTACAGCCCCATTAGTTATGTCAAAAGAATGTCAAAATCACTAATATATAATGTGGCAATCTCCAAATGATACCTGTAAAACTTTAATACCATATGGACTTAATTTTTTCAAAAGTATTTGCATATGCACAGCTGCACACGTGTCTAGAATGTGTCCCTCTGCAGTGTTTTAGCTGAGTGTGGATAGCTCAGTGGAATAGCACTCAAAACCTACCCATTAGTTTTGATCTCTTTTGCTTTCTAGAACAGAACATCACAGAACAACCTGCCAGAGAATTTAGGTAGCCAGGTGATAATTAACCTTGTGTATGTTCAGGAAACAGAAACAGCACCACCTTCTTCCATAGACATTTATAGTGGAGACTAGATTCAAATAAAGGTGTTCAGTTCATCTGAAGCTTATTCTTTAGTACATATTACTAAATTAATTTTTGTGCTGTTTAGAAACACAGTGATTCCAAGTCTGTTAAGTTATCATCTATTACAGCCATGAACCGGAAAAAATGGGTGTATAATGTTTTGCTTCCTGGTTTATGATACTTGTTTGTGAGTGACTTAAGTTCTGTGTGTCATAGCTAACAGCTTTTGAATCACTGACATAGTTTAGACCATTTTCATATGTGTGGTGTTTCAAGCTTAAAATTCCTGTAGGTTCAAAGAGGTTATATTGTTGGATAAAGAATAGAGAGAGCAAGTGGGTGACAAGGTAATTTATAAGGTCAGTTCTTAGTAGACATTTCAACATCCATAGGGAAATTCATCTGCAGCAAACAGATCCATGTGAAAGTACTGGTTTTGGCATTAGTTGCATATTGTATTTTGATAATATGCTCCTTAGCATATAGTAGGCAGGCAAATACATTCTTACTTTAAATGCAAAGACCACAACTATGTAAGCTTTTTTGCTTTTTGTAGATATGACAGAATTAAGTTAAATTTTATGTCCTTAGACATTAGAGACTATGTTGGGTTTTTATGCAATATAAATGAAGTAGGATTTAATTGTGCTTGAAGGTTAGAGAAGATGCTTACATTTTAAGATGTTGGATCAGTTTTTGCCTCAATATACCTTGTATTTAACATTCTCTTTTTTCACTTATAGGTAAGATTGTGCCAAAACCCAAAGCTTCAACTGAAAAACAGCCCACCTTACATACTGGACATTTTACCTGACACTTACCAACATTTGCGACTTATACTGAGCAAATATGATGACAACCAGAAACTTGCACAACTCAGTGAGAATGAGTATTTTAAAATCTACATCGACAGTCTCATGAAAAAATCTAAACGGGCTATAAGACTCTTCAAAGAAGGAAAGGAAAGAATGTACGAGGAGCAGTCACAGGACAGGTAGGTGAAATATTTGAATATGAAGTAGGTTGTCTGGCTTGTCTGCATTCTTAACACTGTTTGTCTGCAGCTGTTGTGTTTTGACATTTTTAATTATTTAAAGAGCAGAAATATTTATTATTTGGATTCATTGACCCTGCAGGTCAATCAGTCACTTGCTGGATTTGTTCCACTGTGTGCTCTTATCTGTCACTTTGTGACCTTTAAAACCAAGTGCATTTCCTTCATAAAACATTCATTTCATTGTAATTACTTATTCACAGGGCTTTACAATATGTAGTTTTCCCTCTGGCAGAGACTGAGTGATTGTTACTTGGATTGAGCTTGATCTCCTACTCCAGTTCTTAAAACTGTGGGAGCCATGATGCATATTGACTTAGAGCTTTCACAAGTTATGAAATGGAGCAAAACAATATTCAGATTTCTGAGATATTGTGTGATGTTGCCATAAGGTGATGATAATGTTAGTTTGGTGCTAAGAAGCCTTTTCAGAAACTTAATGGATTTCCAGTTTGCAGTGGTTCAGTTTTAATAATGGGGTTTAATGTCCACTTTGTGTACTCTTGGTGGTGAGTGAGGAGGGTTTTAATATTTGATTTCATTACCTAGCATTTAAAAAATAATATTTCAAGAACTTTTCTGCAGTTTCATTTTAGCCAGGGGTGCAGTAGTATTGTGGCAATTAGACTCTGTCATGTGTGGTATATCTTTAAATCTGTTAAAACAAAAAGATGCAATGCTGTTTCCAGAGTCTCCCCTTTTTAAAGGAGATAGTAAGGGATGGGAGATGGAGAGGAAGCGGAGGGAGGATTGAATCCTTGCCATTCTCTCTGTACCTGAGCTCAGAGGCAGGGTTGCAGTATAGTTTTACAGCTGGTGAAAGTGTTGGCAGAAGCAGTGAAATGCCTACATTCTTGTAAATGTCAGTGCTGTTCTGTTTGATTTATACATATGTTCCTTACAGATTTTTAGCCATGATTATAGCTATTCAGTATACTCTGGTAGTCTCCTGTGCTTGATGGGGTGTCGGAAGCTTGCCTAATGTCAAAGGAATTTCTTTTTAAGTATGTAAAGACTGTCCAATTGTGAATATACTTGGAGCAATTTGCCTAGGAGGAGCAAAATTTGAATTATTTTAGTGATGAGTAAAGATCTTGAATTTTTTTCTGTTTGGATTCATATAAAAGAACAGTTTTCACTGTAGATGCATTCTTTACAGACCCCCTGGAAAAATTGTTCAGCACTGAACCTGTGGGTTCTTTTTTTTTTTAATACCCCATTCGTTGTATGTGCAGAAGTCATTGTGTTGCAAAGGAAATAACAGCTTTTTATGGCAAGGGAAGTTTGACATAAACGGTTGCATTATGTAAACAGGTTTTATTTTGACTTCCCTATGTTGTATGAAACCCAGATTTACTTATGGTTTTGCTTACAGTTAGCAATAAATTAAAGCCAGTTTCAGTGTCACTTTTTGAAAACAGTCTGCTATATGCTCTGTACAGTCATTCAAACTGTTTAAGTAACCGTATCTAGTTGGTAGAGTTGCTTTCTTCTTTGCAATTGCCCGCTTCATTTCCTGCATAAGGGTAACAGTGCTGCTGTAAGGATGTCTTTTGTGAGGCAGACTGCTTTTGAAGAAGGTGCAGTTAGTATGTTTACTGTCATTTATTCGGGCCATTCTTGTGAGATGATTGGAGAGGAGGGAATTTAAAACATAGTAATGAAGTGCACTGAATCACAGTAACTACTTCAGGCTCTCTAAATTTGTATTTCAGAAGGTGACAACTCTTATTTTGCCTGTCAGGTGGATTTTGAAGCTTGAGGAAAGGAGTACGATAGAAACGTTTCTCCTGTGCTAAAACTGTTAGTTGCATTTCCTACAGAATCTGCATTCTGACTGTATCTCAAAATGCTTAAATGAGCAAAAAAAGAGCAAGCATTGTTTCAGCACTTTATGTATCGTGCCATTATAAGTTAAAGTCTACATCTTTGAACTTCAGCGCACCATCCTTCATCTACTGGTGATATTTTATCTGTATGTGTATCCTAGTTTAAAGTTAAATGGAAGTACTTATTTGCTGAGCCCTATGACTAGGTGATTGTTTGCTTGGCAGTGCTTCAACATATACAATCATGTTAATTCTTGGTAAGTTAGTGAAAGAAGCTGTTAAATTTATTTTTTTAGCTTCGTTGCTTCCAAATACGTCTACATTAACCTAAGTACATTATTTAAGGTTATGATGCAAATTGTTTAAATGCTTTTGAAATGTTTCTACAATGAATGTCAAATTGATGTGTAGTCAATTTTCAGAAAAGGCAAACCAAAAACCTTTCATTTTGACACTTGGCCAGTTTCTGTGGTATTCATTTCTGTTTTGTTTTGTGTTAGTGTCTCTGGTTTCTCGATAAAAGGTCATCATGAAAAGGAAAAACTTCCTTTTTTTTGTTTTCCAGGCTGCATTTGAAAGCATTCTGTCTATGTATTTGGTTGGTATACTTTTAACCATTTAGGGTTATTGAATAATCTTTAACTTCTATAGTGATGGTACATTTAGGAACCAGTGCCAAAATTAATGTGATTTTATTTGCCTGATGAGGACACAAAAATTACTCTATTGTGAAGAACTTGTCATGAATTTTAATTCCCAAAGATCCTGTGGATGAAACAAAATAAGTCGGATTATGTAGAAATGGCAGATGCAACACAAAGGTTTATACTCTGATGGTGTTGCCTCTCTCCTGCGTACCATGTCAAATACGCGTGATGTTTAAGAGTAGTTGGTGCTGACATTCTGTACTCTGTGGGATGAGTCTCACTAAGAGAAAACATGGCTTGCAAGTTTGTTTAATGTATATGAATTGTGTCTACTTTCTAGGTATGGTGTCTGCTATCAAATTATGTCCTCTCATAGTCCTCTTGCTTAATGAAGTAAGAGATGACGTTTAATAAATGCTGTGCTGAAGTTTTTCTATGTATGAAGTATTTTAAAGTTGGGTTTTTTGGTCACAAATGTTACTTTTTAAAAGTTATTAACACAAGCTTATTAAATTTTCCGATTCAGGTACATCTGCTTTTCTTTAAGGGCTTTCTGTGTCTTTGAGGGTCCGAGATTTTGGTTGTGATTCTCTCTCTTTTTTTTGTTTTGTTTGTTTGTTTGTTTTGTTTGGGTTTTTTTTGTTGTTTATTGGGAAGTGGACTAAAGCTGGAAAGCATCATTTCTATGAAGTCCAAACTTCCTTTTCTCTCGCTGCATTCCAAAACTATGCATCCAGAAAAAAACCCGAACTTTGTAGACCAATAGTTTTTTCCAGACAAATATGTTAGCCAGGTGTCGAAATCAAGCACTTAGTTAAGGTAATAAGACTAGAGGAAGAATAAAGTGGCAATGGAGAGTTTACATTTGGATTCATTCAAGATGCTGGACATAGTCTTCAAGGCTAACACAACCATTTCTTAGTAATGGAGACAAATGTGAGAGTTTCCCTCTGCTTGCCTGTGAATTGTGTCTGTGGGAGAATTTATGTCTTGAGATGGAACTTGTTCATTTTCTGTTTTAATATTGCCCTATTAAAGACAATATTCTTCTGCTGTATGCTCTTTGTATGAGAAGAGGAAAGCGTAAAACCAGGGTGTATATTTTTAATAATCCCTTATTAGTGATAATAACCAGTGATTATTTTTAATAATCACTGCTTGGTTCAACCAGAATTAGTTGACTGTGTGTGTTTAAGTGGCATTGCAGAAGTGAAAGAGGAAGATAAAGTGAAAAATGGATATTTCTTAAATAGTGGGCAGGACAGATGAAGATTGCAAGAGCTGAGGTGTTTTGGGGCTTGATGTGGAAAGAGGTGTGTATGTAGGAAAAGTCAGAGTCAAGGAAGCCTCTCAAGGGGATCACAAAACCACTCCTGTTCCTGTACAAAAATCTTGCTAAATTCTCTCGCGTATCTGGCCAGTTGGTGTCTTGATTCAAATTGCATGTTTCTAGATTTTACAGCTTAAGTGGATTGTTAGTGTGGAATTCTTATGTTCTGTAAGTCTTCTAGGAAGGTCTTTTACCTATGGTTCAAGTGACAGATCAGGTTCTGCTGTTACTGTTGATGTTGGTTAGTGGATTTATAATATATTCCATTTCTCTTTCTTAAGTCTGTGTTGACAGCTGAGACAAGTTAATGGTTCTTGAATCAAGTCCTGAACTGGCACATAAAAAGTACACAGCATTTTTGGTAGAGACTTTTCCCCTGTTGAAATTTCTAGTCTATTCCCTCCTTATTCTGAAAGTACAGGCTTGATAAGTTACAAGGGTAAGCATCAGGATGGATTTCAGTTATGTCAGCTGCAGCACAGTAGCAGCCATTTGTATACTTCTGTCCTGTGTTAAGCGAGAGGTAGCTTACCCTACTTCTTTGAGTTACCTCATCTTGTACCACAACTTGCTGTTTTGTTTACAGGAAGTTAGGAAGTTTATAGCTTAGCTAGCCTTGTAACTAATTTGTGTCTCGAGACAGAGGAGATTTTATTCATCAAGAGGAGGATCAGGAAGTGTAAATTGTTAATTCAGGATAATTTTATTTGGATAGATTGTTTTGGCCTGTCTTAATAAAGGAGAGGTGCTCCAGCCCGTTGATCATCTGTGTGACCCTCCTCTGGACTCGCTCCAACATCTTTCTTATGTCAGGAGCCCCAGAGATGGAAGTAATGTTCCAGGTGGGGTCTCAAGTGAGCGTAGTAGAAGGGGAGAATCCCCTTGACCTGCTGACCATGCTGCTTTTGATGCAGCCCGGCAACTGGTTGGCTTTCAGGGCTGCAAATGCACACTGTTGGGTCATGTTGAGCTTTTTGTCACCCCCAGGTCGTCCTCCTCAGGGCTGCTCAATTCATTCTCTGCCCAGTCTGTATCTGTGCTTGGGATTGCCCTGACCCATGTGCAAGACCTTGGAATTAAACAAGGAATGTTATACAAACACATCTTTCTGACAGAGTCTTGTTGCAAAGGGCG